ACAAACAAACAAGCAGTTCAGTTGCTTGACTTTTTCAGCAGCAGTTAATTTTGGAGAGGTACAGAGCCTCTTTTCAGTCTTTGAATATATACATGACAAAAGGAAAAGAAAGGAAAGAAACCACTGTGTGTCCTTCATGGACAAAAGGGAGTAAAATGTCAATAGCGTGATATGAAGCATTTAGGACACGTATCTGCTAATAGCAAGTGCAGTGCTGCACTGGGACAAAGTGCCTGGGAAAGACAGTGAAATTGCAGTATTAGAGATTTTTAGGAAAGATGAGACAGGTGACTGCCAAAAATCATTTCAGGCACGATAAGGATAATATATTTGCTTGACTACAACGTCTCTCCTGTCCAACAAGGAGCTGAACTTCTTTACATCTTTTGACTGTTATTTCAACACTCTCTTCAATAAATAGATGTGAACCTGGGAATTTATACACACCTGTTCCCACATGTATCCCATTTAACTTGGGAAGGGAGATTAAAAGAAGAGATGTGGATTTCAATCTAAGCTGAGTTTGCAAAATATTCTTCATGTTTCAGGCTGTTCTTTAGTACACTTTGCTTTTCACTGTGATTCCATCATCCTGCAAAGATTTTACTCTGGATGACAAGGTTCAAAATGTTCCTACCTAGAAAACACTGAAGGCTGCAGATTTACAAATCGTCCGTAAGTGTCTCAGCCTACCTAATCCCCTGACATTCTCACTCCATTTAAGAATTTTCTACTAAAAAAAGCATATTTTATTCATACGCTATAGTCAAATAGGATAATTTGAAGACCATACAAGTCCTCAGACACATTTTTAGTACTTCCTTCATCTTCACATGCTCAAGGCAACATTTCTAGATTACCCATAGAAACGAAAGTGACCTAAATTATTTTAATAGCATTCACTATGATCTTTCTAAATCCAGTAATTACTAAATCACACTCCCTGCAGAGCTAACCAGACATATCTTCTTCATAAGTGGTAGGTTCACTCACAAGTTCACTCACAATAGTTGCAATAATGACAAAAGTTGTATTCCTTAATAATAAAGGCATTGCCTAGCATGGAATCAAGTTTCTATACCACCAACCAAAGGTTTTACACTCAAAAAAAAAAAAAAAAAAAACCAAAAAAACCAATGGGCATCATAAAAGAAGGTTATACTGTTAAAGTCTAAGAAAGTTTCAGTATGGCATTAAACCTAGATTTCACATCAACCTAAGGAACCTGAAAATTAAATAAAAGACAGTAACATTTTCCCCATTAATATGACAACTTCATTATTAATTAACCTTCAACTGAAAATAAGTTTGCCAGCAACTTTACATTAAGTCTTGCTTTTTCACTTTTTATGTATTTCAGCATGCTTTGCTTTCTAATGAACCTAGAGATGTATTTTCCATTACTTACGTTCTTTAACATACAGATGGAAAAGGAGTAAGAAATTACAAGGCATAACATTGTAATACAATGTACTATACAAAAACCTGTCGTTTAAGTTGCAAGAAACCTAGCCATCAATAAGTGAGAAAAGACACCACTCAAAAATCAATTATGTTGAGTCTTTTGTATAGAGAAGTAGTACACCTTTCAGGCAACTGGTATTAATGAGCAGACATAGCTATAGAATCTCCATCTGTTTTTCTGACAAAGCTGTGACTACTCCAGTCTCTCATTGAAATTCCATTAATCTGGTGCACCAAGGACCAATGTGAAAATCAAAACTCCATCTAACCCTTTATCAGCTCACAATAACCTACAAGTGAACTCTGCCTGTTAGCATACAGCAAGTTATGATTTTGCTATCAATCAGGCTGTTAGCCAATAAAAAAAAAAAAATCAAGTTAAGAACTGAGTGCCTGGCAGTGCTGTTTTGTTTTGTCTGTCTTGGGTTTGGGTTTGTTATTTTATTTGGGGTTTTGTTGTGCTTTATCCCTCTTCCAATTTCTGTAGGGTGTCTGGACATGTAAGCCTATGCATCATTCTCCTTCGTTGTGATTTAATTGCTGCCAGCAATCAAGTCAAAGCATCACTGAAGTGTGCTTGAATTTCATTAGAAGATATAACTTATGCTACTTTCCTACAGTACCTAATAAACCATAAAGAAACCAAAACACATATGGCTTGAGGGAATAACTGGAAAATTAGGTGGCCATTTGGGAACGGAGTGAACTTTTGAACCAGAGGAACAGAGAAAAAGAAATATTAAAAGGAAAGACAGACTTAGAATGCACACAGAGACGTGTGGGTTTGACCTTTTCAGTACCTAGAAAATTACATTAGCATTATGAAAAATACATATCATGTTTAGAGTTTATAATCCATCAAAGTTTAGATACTTTGTTAGTGCCTACCATAAGGTAAAAGTCAAAAGGACAACATAACAATCGGATTTGACAAAAGGCCTTTAGGTGACCTGTGCTAATTTAGTTATCCCATACTTATTGTTAAATGGATTATCTCTTGTGTAATTAATACACCATTAGACAAAGGTCACACAAAAACTCTGGGATTTTACAATGACTATAATGTACACGTAATACACTAATTCTTTATCTGTTACCAAGCGGGTGCCTTCACAAATTATATTTTGACAGTAACACGGCAAAGCCAAGCAGCAGTGCTTTCAGAAGTCAGACAAATCTTGAAGTCTTGAATTCAAGTATATAAAAGTAAATATATATATATATATATATATATATATATATATATACACATACATTTTTGTTTTTCAAACAGCAAACATGCTTGAAAGGTTTATATAAAATAATACAAACACACTCAAATAAAGAATGCTTCTCCATTTGATTACCTACAGTTATGCCCCTCTGTTAATGCTGAGAGCCTTGATTCTATGCAAATGAGGTTTTACACCTATGCACAGCCCTGCTGAACTAAACTGGTAACTGCATCAGACCAAGTGTCTACCCTATGGATCCAGCTGCTTCACTAGGCTTAAATATTGAGCACTAAGAGACTGCTAAAAAATAAAAATTAACTACTAAGCTTCAACAAACCCAATCATGCCTATGAAAACTGAAACAAATTGCACCTCAGAGGATCAATTCACCTCTTGTAAGATCCTCTTAACATGGATTTTCATACGCAGTCTATGAGGCTATGTTTTAATGGTGGTCTATATACGTTAAAATCAAAACGCGCAAAATGGCACACTGGACATTCAAAGAGGAAGAAAATTCCTAATTAAATGTAAGTATTTACAGACAAAATTTGCCACCTTTCCCTCATTCTGAGCTTCCACTAGGTAACCAAGGAGAATTTCTCCGAAAATGTAGAAGGAACAATGAGGTAACATCACCTTAAATGTAACCCACCATGTTTCCACTCAAAACGTTAACCAATAAGCAAAGATACCGACGGGCGGGTACCAGACCTAGTCTCATAATCACAGCTTCCAGAATGAACTAAAAATTAATTATTCATCTGTACAAAATCGTATAGTAATTTATATACTCTGGTATCAGCATTCTTCAGCTATTCATTTAGTTTTATGAACGTTATCACTTTTTTCTTGATTAACTTGTTTTGAAACAAATATATAATCATATCTCCTATTAAACAGTCATACAATTTTGTCAGAAACCCTTTATGCAATCAGTACCATGTTATTAAGTTACAATTAGAAATAATGTTGAGATTATGTTTGTAAGCAAAAATAAATAAATGGAAAGTTGCATTCATCTGTAGTTTGGAAAATTAGCTTGGCTTTTCTAAAAGCCATATTCAATTTGACTGATAATTACATTTCAACAAGAAAGCAAAAAGGCTTGTTTTTACTATTTTTTTTAGAAGGTCACATTGCTGAAATGCAACAAGCTCAATATAAAAAGAAGTGTGATTATTATTGTTACACATTTTACAGAGTTCTGAATATAAAAAAATAACTGTGTTATTCTGAATCAGTGGTTAGAAGGTTTATCACTTATGCATGTACTTGACTTATCCCTGTTCTGCAATAGACATAATTTTATACCTCATAAAAGCAATTTATGTTTCCAAAGGGAATAATCTGGATAACATAAAACGTGGAGTGCTATGTTGCGGGAAGCATATTTTCATTCAGCAATTGTATTTTGAGAATGAGCTGCACAATTTGATCATCATATCATGTCAGAAAACATCATTCACTAGCAGGTCTAACTTCCAGTGCCACAAATTAATATACATCGTTAATTTATTTGTACATATACTTAATTTACTGCCTTGTATTATCCATAGAAGGGTTTTAATATTATTTATACAATAAATGAACCTCAAAAATATGGACACTAGGCTAAAGCGAGCTTGTTAGCTACTGAAATATTCAATCGTTCATGTCTTCAGAACAGCCACATTTAGCATTAAATTTAATGAATACAACCCAAAACAACATGGAAAAGAGCTATGGATCTTAGATTTTCCTTGTTATGCAAACTCAAATTTAAAATGTATACAACAAAAACATTCCACAAAAAGACTACCTCAATGCAAGGAAACATTGTAGGAATAATTAATTTAATATTTTATGAACCTATTCTGCATGGAGTTTGCAGAAAAATATCAATCACATAAACTGTTTCATTATTTATATGATAAATAATACAGTAAGCCATTAAGTAGCACAATAAAATTAAGCAAGAATCTGATAATGTTGAATTAACAAACAATTTGTTAGTACAAATATTCACACTGCTTTAGCCATGATCTCTCTATAAAAACATACGCATCTACAGAAGATGTTTTGTTATCAGAAAGCGTGTATTTGAGAAAAAAAAAAAAAAAACATGCAAATTTGCGGCAGCTTCACTATGCTCTAGGACCACTAGAGAGAGCTCTTCTGTTCCTTTAAAGGTTCTTGTAAAGGCAGGAAAACTGTCCAGCTGTGATGCTTATCTGCTTATTTGATTTCCACCAGTAACATTCTCATCATGAGGCACCCATTACACGAGTTTGTAGCAAACTGGCAAATCTAGTACATTCTAAGATAAACAGTGTCACATACCATCAGAATGTGCTTCGTCCTCTTTATCACATCGGTCAGATGCTATTGAGGCACTGTCAGGAGGTGAAGAAAAGGAGCTCTCTGACTCTTCCTCATCTTCCAATTCTGAAAAGTCAAAAAAAAAAACCCACATTACTATGTAATATAGTCTGTCATGCAAAGACAGAATGCAAAGGCAAGTATTTTCATTACAACTGAATAAGTGAATCTCACTGTTAAGGAGGATATTAACTATTATTTCAAAGTGTCTATTCCTCATGCACCTTGTCACCTTGTATTTCAATGCTACTGTTCTGGAGCAACATGCTAATTGGCCAAGTGCATTTTGTTGGAGTGGTTTTCTTAAACACTGTCCTATAATGAACCTACTACCAGTGCTGCTTAGCTGACAGGGTGGGGGAAAAAGAAAAAAACCACGGCAAAGAGGTAGGCAAGAGCAAACGCTGTCAGGAAGAGAAATGGGCAGTGTCAACGCAAGAACTCTTTCATTTTTAAGTGTAGAGAGGATCTGGGATATGCTGCATCTTCCTTCCAGAGGCCCGCCCAACTACTTCTGGCAGCACTTTGTCCTCCTCTGCCCACTTTCCTTTTCTCTTCAACTTCTTTCTAGGGGCACCCTGCGAATGCAGTGTGTGCTGTACTCTTCCAACGAAGCTAAAAACGGGATCACCTTCTGAGAGCACCCAGCCCAAAGGGGTGCCTTAATGCAGCACTCTAGCGATGAATTTCTCAAACAACTGAGAGCCCTACCACAACAAACAAAACAAACGTTGCCTTATTAGCTGAACAGCGCATGATGCTGACCAGAGTGTATTAAATATTGGGAAATAAAGAGAAATTGCTACAGTTGAGGTTCTTGTTTAATAAGATGAAATTTAATTTTACCCCCCTGAAATGCAGTGTATTTTCTGAGTTTGGTTTGTTTGCTTTCATAGCAACTAGGCAAAGAAGCAGAAGGGAAAAAAAATCCTGGAAATATAGGGGGGAAAAAAAAGTGAAAATTAAAAAGAAACCACAACCTCAACCACATAATTACTTATTTGTTTTTAAAGAAACAGCGTTGGAAAATAAGAAATATCCAATAATTAAAGCCGACACTGTCACCAAACCAAAATCATAACTCCGATGCTCCAACAGATCAAATAGCTCTCCATTTTCTTAAAAAGTATATAAGGAAAAAATTGCTTAAGCACTTCCTTTTGTTATATTCACATGCAAAAGCTTTCCAGAGCTCTACAGACATGCATCTCTATTCACATATTCACTTTTGGAGCACTGTACCACACAGCTAATTTATAAACTCCCAAATAAACCCCCATCCACAGTGAAATTATTCTCTGCATCCATAGAAACCAGTTGGGCTGCCTAGCTATGGCTGAGAGTTTTATTCTTCTATTTTCTATTTAATATAAAAAAATCCAGTATATTCCCTGTTCTTTGGAGAAAAAAAAAAAAAAAAAAAAAAGCAACGTTTTCTTTTCAGAAATTTTTTTTTTCTTGCTTTACTGGAATTTTTGTAGCCCAAAATTGCTAAACATCAAATTGGATTTTCTTTTCATTAATTTAGTCCTTTTCTGAGCAAAGTTTCCTTTCAAGTCCCAGTGCCATACAAGTATTGCTTAGAATGAGAACCTGATTCCAAATCTATTTTTGACACAGTCTACTTCCGGTAGCACTCCAGCTCCCGTGTTAATCTGATCAAAATATTTGCATTTCATCACACCTGTCAAACCAATCAGAAGTAAATTATCTGTCTCCAAGATGCACTCCTTCATCCAAACAGAAAGCCACAAAGCAGAGAGCATGTGAACAAAAAAGATTATGCCATATTTACAACTATCATCTTTTATCCTTACATGCAAGAGACCAGTTGCCTCTCACTCTCTGTGCATACATACACATAGTAAATATACACAAATTACAAAATAGACTATTAGAAGACCAGACATTATAATCACAGCCCATATCCTCTCAGGAGTTGTTCCATTCTTTTTCTGCCCTAAATTTTTTACTGGCACTACAATGCAAAGGACCTAAGTTTATATCAACACCCACCTTCAAATCTCTGGTTTATCAGTCAAAAATGCCCATTTACCACTTATATGCTCATTCGGTGCCAGAATAAACTTAAAATATTAGGCTGTGTTTTTAGAGGAAAACACTTCCACAACCAACAAACTCCAGCAATCAAAAGCCACAGATTGAACAGTAAGAGTACGCCTCACTATATCTGAACTGTAGCCATTCTGCATGACTTACAGGGAAGCGCACACAGAAAGGAATCATTTCCATAGGGCTTTCCCCTTCCCAGCAATGCACTCTTTCAGAGAAGTTGTGATTTTTTTGTACAAACTCCCATAGGTGCACGTTTAGCCCATTCTTCCACCAAGCTATGTAATTAGCATTTTCTAATTATGGTAAGGATTTTGCAATCAGTAAACCTTTGTGTTTAGCATTCATATAATCCCTGGATGATCTAGAAGAATACAAGCTTTTCAATATAAACATACATATTTAGAGCACCCCGTGTACATTCCCAGGTATATATTGTATCTGAAAGAACAAAAATCAGGTGCACATTAAATGCAGATTTATTATAAAACAAATATCCAAGTCCACAATATCCAAATTCAAAATAATGCTCAAACAACACAAGTTACTGTGAAGAAAAAAGGTACATACAATGACTTCAAAAATTTTAAGATCATGAAAGAATTCACTAGATGTTAAATTGTAAACAAAGGCTTGAGGACTTCGAAGACAACGAAAAAAAGATGAGAAAGATAACCAGGACAAATATACAGATCCCATGTCATGCAGTCATATATTTAGGTACCCCAACTTTTTGTGTATCAAAAACATGGAGAACAGGTCACAGGCACTAAAAGAATCACAAGTAACCTGCAGCCACAGAGGACTAAATTAAGTCAAAAACTTCCTTTTTTTGTTTTTGTTTTAGATTAAACAGAAGTATTTTAAGTCTGTATTATGCACTGAAATGTAACCCTTCACTCATCTATCACGAGCTGCAGTCGTGTTGATGGAGAGCGGACTCCACGTGCTCTGCAGCTTTAACAGGCAGTGTTTCACAGAGCTTTTGTGCTCACGTGAAACAATGACTACAGGCTATCAGCCTTGGGTTTTAGCAGTTAAAAGACACCTTAGGAGTGTATGCTATTAATACACAAGGATATTGCTCCTGACAGTTTACAGAGAGGCTTCCTGCTGATTCTGTGGGGTCCTTTGCATTCCCACTCAGAGTAATCTCTGTCTTGTCTCCACATTCTCCTCCATTAAGGTGCTGCACTGCAGTTTATACCTCACCTTCCAAAGAAGGCTAGATAGAACTGCATTTGAAACTATCAGTGCTACTCCTTAAGCAGTCAGAGGAGTCAGTGTCGAGCAGCGCAAGTCGCTACTCCTCTCTTCAGGTGCCAAGTACCTAAAAATACACCCCAAAAGCACCAATAAATTAAAGAGAAGCATTCAACTTGCATTTATGTAATAGAAAACTGAACTACAAAGCAAGAATGGGCATCAGGTAAATGTATCCAATGCAATTTGCTGGCATAATTGAAAGCATTACTGCCTAATCAGACTTCTAAAAGCAAAGCATGCTCAAATAGACTCATTAGTTGGCAGCCATTCCATTACAATCACACTTAATGTCAGTAGTGCCTTGAACTTGTTCCAATGACAACAGCATAAATTCTGCATCTCATTTCTGTGGCCATAAAATTAATGATCAGTTTAAAAATACTTCTTCGCAAAAGTTATTGCACAAAGAAATGACATGAATGTGTCCCTGTTATGTAGTTACAAGGATAGTTAAGGAGCTGATGCCCATTGATAGTTTCTTGTTTCCCCAGAATACTGTATGACTTATCTGGAACTTGAAAAAAAGTTTAATTAACAGTAGATACTTAATAGTTACAATAAATTGTTACTTAATAGATAACTAAAATATGTACGTGAACCGATCTTATTCTCGGGATTCTGCAATTTAAACTAACCTCTTACAGGTTTGATAGTAGAATCAATATTTTATGCTATCTGTACAAAAATAAACCACATCTTTCCTTGTAAATGCTACCTTTTCAGTTACAGCTCCTTAACTAATTTAGGAAACGATGTACACCAAAGGGTAAGCTATACCACATTAAGACTGTAGAACTGGGTAAAACTTCTCCTAATTGTAACAAGGGCTGCACTTTAATCTCTGTTTTCTATTTTGAAGATTTCCAACAGGTTTATTTGGTACAACCCGAATATAATGAGCAGGACCATATTGTTCCGCTTTAAAAAAAAAAAACTCAGGAATTCATTTTCATCTGCAATAGTCTGATTACAGTGAGCCTTAAAGATACTACTTAAGCTGCTAAAACTGAGAAAAGGCAAACAGGATGCTTCAGATGCTTCAACCAATGCCTAAGAAAGACATTGTTGCTCATTAGAGGTTCTCAGATCACTAAAAACTCATTTTATTTCTAAAGAGTTCATATAAAGTGATACAACGAAATTGCTCAAATAAAGCAACTCATGAAAACAAAGAGATGTGCAGGTCAAAACATCCTGCTTCTTGCCAATTCGCGAGCTCCCACATCACAGCAGGCTGCAACAACTGCCTTCGGTCCAGCCTTTGCTGCAATAAGAGCCTGCTGAGCAAAGGGCTCCACGACGCCATCATGCAAATAAATGCAAGGTTCTCACTTACACAGGTTTGCACAGAAATAACTGGATAAAGTTGCTTTCAAATTGGCACAAGCCTGCTTCAGCCCCTTGATAACTGAAGCTGATTTTTAATTTAAAAATAAATTTTTTTAGGATGCTACCATCTCAACCCATAAGAACCCATCTCTGCAAGATGACTGGTGACAGCCACTCTCTCAGTGTATGCTTCGCAATGCAATCTGCTTTGATGCTCATTCCTGTCTTCTAGATTCTGATGCTAACAAGATAGTTTTTAATGGCTTGTTTGTTTTCTAAAGGTCAAGTAGGAATCTTCAAGCAGCTAAAAAATACTGGAACATCCTTCAGTTTGTAAGCAAATATACACCAAGCAAAAAAAAGAAAAAAAAAAAAAAAAGAAAAGCAATATAAGTTTTACTTGTTGAGTACCCAGTACCCAGACCTTTCTGATGGTGCACATCAGGATAAAACCATTCTGTGCTGCACTGGTGGATGTTCCTTGTGCTGCTGGAAATTGCACTTGGCATGGACACTTCCCAGACAACAGCTGTGTGTAGCTGAAAGGGACAATGCGGTGACCGGCCTACTGTGAGACACTCCAGACTTCCAGGATAAAGGGATATTTGGCACATTTTTACTGCATCTGATAGTCTCTCTAGAAATACATCATGATGATCCTCAAAGGACTGCATAACAACTAAGCCATCTCTTTCCCAGTTATGGTTAGCTACTAATGATGTATTTATGCTCCTGACTGAAAAACTCAACTGTGTTAAAATACAGAACTCTCATCCACCACTGCTCTGATTACCACAAGCTACTGCATCCCTTTCTCAACTCCAAAATGACTCCTAAAACTCTGCTGCTATTTCCCGAAAAAAAACAGCGTACAGTGTCAGAAACAGAATGATCCCTTCCACACAACACAGAAAATGCAAAGTCTCTGTATACAGCACTACTCTTTCAGGCTGCCGATCTCCCGGGAGCAGGTGTTTCAGCCTCCAGACATTCACTGTCCTGCCAGGAGCCACAAAGGCATCTGAATCATTTAAAGGCTTCCTGTAGGTGCTCCAAAATCACACCCAGAACATCACTGATGCTCTAGAGGCACAAGTTTAACTTCCATTAAAGTAAAGCAAAATGAAAATGAAAGGGTGGACCTTTATTAGACTTAAAAGCAGTAATTCAGCAAACATCAAATCATACTTTTCTGTATAAATACTGCCAAAGTCATGTGTTGCAGATCAGATATGAGTAGCACTGCAAGCTTTATGAGGGGAACTTGTTCTGTAAATTGCCATATTATGACTGGATTTGGCTAGTGCTTTTGGTGTCTCACTTCAAACAGACTGATTTTTGTGCGTGTGTGTGAAAAATGATTTTAAAAATATATATTACTAAAATGTAGAGAACAGATGGCAAGTGAACCTCAAACACAAGTACAGCTTCTAGGGCTCAGAATGCTTCTGCCAACATTAGCACTATTTTTAGCACAAGCTGAAAACAAGGTTCTTTTAACTAAACATTTTGGCAGCCATGGTATTGATACAATTAATCTCAAAACAGAGAAATGCCAAAAACTGTATTAACTCAATCTTTGACAAAGCCCACATTTCTATATCCTTAGTGGAATATTAGTCTTATTAAGAATGAACCCAATTCCTATAAAAACTGCCTCAGTTTCCATGTTCCTTCTCACCTCTAAGATCGAGAACAGGTCATCTTGAGTGCAACTGCAGCTTTACGGTTTAGCTTAAACTGCTTAGAAGAAGAGTCAAATACTTCAAATTCAAAAATATATATACACAATGGAGTAAGAGTAAAAGAAGCTTCAAATAAGTTCCTTAACCTAAGAATAAAATACTTAACATAATAAATAGATTTGTGGAAATATTCGTGTTTTGGATACCAATACCATTGGTCATGAGAAGAAACTGAAAATACAAATCAGCATTCTGCTTAACTGTAAACTTCAACATGTGATTATTGAATTTTGTCAAATGTTATCTATATTCCTGTGTTATTAATTTAACATCTTATATTTTCGTAAGCATTCACATCCCCTAAAGAACTTCTCTTTTTTTAGTATGTGGGTACTAAAGATGTATTTGCTAGTCTACTTAATGACCAAACAGGTGGCAACATAAGAAAAAAAAAAAGTTACTTTTAAGAGGATGCAAGAAAGTGCTCCATTCCATCGATTTGGTTATAAGGAGGTAGATGCCCTTTCTGAAAGGCTGAGATTTTCAAGAGGATGATTTCAGTTTTAAGAAGCCTGGTTCTACTTACAGGCTCTTCCATTTCTACTTCTACTTTTCTAATTTTTATTTTAAACATTCTTATCTTTCTGAAGGTGAGATTCTGTATCTTAGTAGCAAAAGCCCATACAACAAGCGCAGACACAAAATACCTTGGACAAACAGACTAGTCACTATGTGCAAAGCCAGTGGAACTTTGAGAACAAGTAACCATGAAAGAAAGTGGAGTGACAAGCAATGTCCACAGAACATGTTTGTGGAACAACTTACAAGCTGATGGAGCTGCTGTTTGAGAGACCAGTGCTCCATTTCGTAATATTTTATGGGAAATATAAGAATACCCAAAATGTTAGTCCACTTCTTTCAGCCATCAAAAAACTCTTCTGGATGTCTCTGGAACGATGACAGATCACAACTCACAGAATTTTTGCAAACAGTCAATATAATAAGATAACTAATACACGGTGATGATGCTACATGGTATGAATCGTTCCTCACCGTTCTTTTAGCTTGAGAAAAAAAAAAAAAAAAAAAAAAAAAACTGTTATTTGCATTAAGAAATGGAGAAATTGGATACAGCAAACAGCAAATATGAGTTTCAACTGTGCATCGTAGTGAGTTGCTTTGCTGGTTTTTCTCCCCTTCATATTTCCTTTCAGTACAATGATCCCATTTCTGCTTCATCCACCATTCCTTTTTCACTTTATGTTTTGAGAGTATTTCTTCTTTCTCTGGAAGCAGGGAAGAAATGAGAAGATGACCAGGCATCTCAGTTCTAAATCTTCTATTTTCCATTTTTCTAACATAGAGGTGTGCACATAGCATGGAATATGCACAAAAGTTGACCTCGTTCAGCTGCTGCCGCTGCTTTTTACTTCAGTAGCTGGCACAGAATCCAATTGCTCACCCCTGTGTGATGAGTACTTTGTTCTACACCTACCTGAGTCATGCTTAATTTGCACAGGCCTTAAGTAAGAATGACACTACCAAATAAAGTTTAATATATACTTCCTGATCTCCAGAGATTACACTGACAATTCATATCACTCAACCACATTCCCTCAAATATTTTGCAAATAAGAGCAGGCTCATACTTCCCATGAATTTTTCATATTCATGCACACAAATGCACAAGAATTTGAAGAAATTTATCCTTGTTTGCAGAAAACAATGGTGTAACTTGAGAGTCTTCTCATTTTATTAACAAACCCCAAACAAATCTAACATGTCAGCATTTACAAGCTTCACCATCTGCACACAGTTACAGCATCTGAACCTAAAATATACATTATGAAAGTTAAATTAAAACAGCAATATATCCTTCTTCAGAAGCAAATACAGCCTAATAAAAACAATGTTCAATACAACTTCCACAAATCAGAGCAATTACAAACTATATCAACGAAATCACACATTTTACTCGAGATAACTAAACTTTATCTTCAATAATCATTTTTTGAATTGTAGAAGAAATTCTGAATCAAGTTATCAATGAGAAAAGTAAACACATTATGAATTTCTTGAGCTTATAAAAAGAAAACAACTCTGTTCTCTGTAGACAGTTCTACTTTTAATAAATATCCAAGTCTGTGACTCTCTATCAACTTCTGAAAAGAATGTTTTCCAAAAAGTCAGGTGCACTGTAATTAAACAATCTTTCACCTACTTTCACACTAGGCATTTTTTTCACAAATTAACATTTGATTTTTCCACCCTTAATTCTATTGGGCAGTAAAGGGAAGAGAGAAACTTCTGTAAGGGTACTCAGGCACAACATAGGAAAAATAGCAACAATATTAACATAATTTTTTGAAGAATCACAGATTGAACTTAGAAAATCTTGGCTAACTTTGAGAAGTTGCATTTTCTCATTCAGTTGAACTGTTAGACCTCTATAACTTGACTTAAAAAGCAGTACGAGATGTATGGACTTGTTATGCCTTGTTATAACATTACTTGCCTGAATGTGACTTCACATATTTTCACTTTATCAGGAGGCAGAAAGTAGTCCACACATTCGAACCTCCCGGTTCCAAAACAGAAAGTTCCCCAGCCAGTGCAAGATGTGGAGCTTTGCACAGGCTTTTTGACCTCACAGTGTGACCCTCATACCAGCATCCACAGGCTATAGGTCACGACCTCAAGAATTAGCATCATGGAAATAAGAGCCCTTCCAGGTTTAATTACAGAATACAACACTGTAGCAACAAACTCCTAAGTCTTGTCTGAACTGAGTTCTGCAGCTTTGTCTTAACTCCACCAGAAGATAATAGATAACCCACACTTCAGTTTTCATTACCAGCACACTAAATCGTCTCCTCTCCAACTAAAGGCCTGGGATCCTGCTATACTGTGAAAACATCCATTCACTGTGGATCGAAAGCCAATATCATACTGCCACTAGCTGAGCCTATTAAAAGGTTAAAGAAATACCACTATGGAGTTGAAGACCCCTGCAATCACTGTTAAAAGAAGTTGAAATAAATTATCTCTGTTAACATTTTATCTCCCAAGCAGATTACTTTGTATATGCGTTCTCTGGGGGAAAAAAAAAAAAAAAAAAAAGGAAAAACCTGCATCACAGTCACATGCAATGCTTAGCTCTAATTAAATCAGACATAAGCTCCATTTGTATTAAATTCTGAGGTATTTTTCTAACCTTCACTCTTTTCTAAGCATTCTCAGATGCATTTAAGGAAGGAAACGAACCCAGCCCAGAGATGGCTCAGCAAGAACTAAAACTTGGGAGCTCTTTGCTGTTTCAATCAGCAGATGGAGCTAGCGGCCTCGGCCAAGCAACGCACACTTGAGTGTTTAAAAGCCAGTATGACAGTCTGTCATGGAGCAAAAATATACTACAGTGGGAAGAAATGTATGAGATTTACCTTTATCCTGGAATTCTTGAGGGTAACTGCAAAAGAAGAAGAAACGACATAATGCAATACATGCTAGCAAATGCACAGCAATATAAACATTATAAAATGATTCCTAGTTTTCTGTAACGGCTATGGTTGAAACTTAGTGCTGAAACTTTTTCACAGTTTCATTCTTGGACAAGTTTTTTATATTTAAAATCAATCTTCCTTTTACTTTTGCAGTAGAGAGAATGCTTAGTCGTTTTAAGGAAGTCAAACAAAACCAAAACCTGATAAGGCAGCCTATTCTAGGTATACACATCTACTCAGATATTTTAATCATATAAACACACAAAAGCATCTCTTTCACTGAAAAGATTTCTGAAATTATTTCAAAAATTCCTAAGTAAAACCCACTATGCCTTTCCTAAAAATAACACAGTAGGTCAGCAAGAAAAAAATATATATGAAGTATAGTTTTTGTTGCAGTATTCTATCAAATCCAAAGAAAAGTACTAATAATTAACCATAAATGAAAAGCTGATGCATACTTAGATGTAAAATCATTTAAAAATATAAAGACATCTGCATAATGCCTAAGAAAATATCTATCATCCCATAGGAAGAAATACTGTTTCTTCAGAAACAAAATGATCTTCGGATATGCTTTGATGTATAAGGATAAACAATCACAGCAAAGTTATGTAAAAAGGCAACTTGAGCAGCATGTACTTGTGTGAAAGATTTCACTAGAAGTGACCAGCAAATAAAATACAGCTGCTAAGACCATCTTTATGGACAATAAGCAGTAGTGCTTTTATCAGGCTAGTCAAAAAGAAGAAATAGAAACAGAAATAAAAGGCCCAATCTAAGAAATCCCGCACAGCAAGTAGCAGCAGTACTTAGGCACAGCACAGTATGTGGGATGTAAAAATCAAAGACTGTGACTACACACACATTTTGTATCCTGCATGAACAGCAAAATACTGCTAAGAGTGAGTACTATTAGAGGAGACCAGGGATAAATTAGAAATGAAGATAAGATGTGAAACCACAGGGTTATATAAATAACTAGGAAAGAACTTGATGGCAGCTGAGCTCCTAACTACAGGTTCCCACCTTTGATACTTCATCATCATATAAAAAAAAATAGACTGAGTCATAAGATGGAAGAAAACAAGTCAGCAGTGCTATATCTGCAAGTCATCTGTACAGTCCCAGTCAGCTCAATAATCCAAAGAGAAAGCACAAAGAGACAAAATCCTGCTTCCTTAAAAAAAAAAAAAAAATATATAGAGAAAGTACTTCCACAAGCATTTACAGCCCTAATGAAATGCACAAACATTTTCAGTTACAAAATGCTGAGGCACATATCATGCCTTCCCACAGTTTGTAGGACACCAAGAACACCGCCCTTGCCAGATGGTTGTGCTGTGTTTGAAACTGTAACCAAGTGGCCACAGATGCAGGAGCAGTCAAAGTAAGGCTCAGTAGGAACCCAACAGAAGCGACTTGCAGGAGAACACTCAGGGAACAGCAATCAAAAAAAAAAAAAAAAGAACAGCAAGTACTAAATTATCTACTAGTACATCTGAGTTGGAAAAAAAAAAAGAGATCTTGCAAAGAATATTTTTGTAGCACATAAACTATAGCCAAATCTCTTCAGACAAATTGTTTTCATCAATGTTAAGTTACAACATAACTGTGTCTGAAATCATACTAAATTTAAAAACAAGCCAAAAAAAAAAAATCACTGCTTGGTCTGTCACAGTACTTTAATATCTCAACATTGTTGAAACAAACTTACCACCTACAAACAGCTTCCAGTTTAGTTTCAACTTCCTATTGGAACTGAACAACAGCCTGTGCAGTAACACTAACTCAGCATCCAACAGAGCTGCTTTACACCAGCTGAGGATGGCAAAAGGAAGCTCATTCCTACTTTGTATGCATTACATTTCCCATATTTTAATGAATCTCACCAAAGTGAGGTCTAAGTAACAAGCTTGCTGAAGCATTCTGAGCCCCAACCGCAATTCAAATGTGACGAATCCTTACCTTCCTGATTCTTACTGAATCCTAGCAGATTCATCAAGTTAGAAAGACTAAACCCAAGCTGATTATTTGACAAACTAAGACCTAAACAGATGATATTGCTAGTGATTATTAAAAGGTTGTTAAATGAAAACTACGTTGCACGTAAGTTACTTCATAACATATTAAACCCACAAAGCTTACTTACCTTGCCTTAACATCTTTTATCTTCTTAAGAAGAATATCCCTTTTCTCCTTTGCTTTCTTGGACAAGTTTTCTCCTTTTAGGGTCTGGGAAATAAATGTGTCGACATCTAAATCAGAAAACGAAGAAAAAGATGCACACCTCAGTAAGGACACACAGTGCTGTAATGAGTTCGCCCAGCCACTACTATGAAGAAAATTATTTTCAGGCCTACACCCAGCACAGTTAACAGGCTTTTCCTATTCTAAATGAGATACAATTTGTTCTCTGATCTACTTATGCTTAGCACAGCAAATCCTATGGTGACATTTGATTCTTGCTCACTTAATTACGCCAAGTAAGCCCTAATAAATTGCACTGCTATAACAATTACTTTCCATCACCTAAAGTAAGGGATAAAGCTAAAACATGGAAATAGCCTTTATGCACATATTACTGCCGTGTTATTTCAGAAGATCACGTTACAAAAATGGTTGAGTAATTCACTCTTTCAGCAGTAATGCCTATCCAGCCACTAATATAGGTCACTTTTTGGTTCCAGTATTTCCAAATGATCTCACTGCCTCTCAGCTCCTGCATGACTGTGATTCATATTCAAAGTTTTAACCTGGCAAACAAATAAGCATGATAATAACCATATTGAAATACAGTCGAGACACACATGTACTCAACTTCAAGCATGCTTGCAGAATCACAGAACTCTAACCTGCACTGCATTTGTTTCATTCTAATGCAGAAAGTATCTTATACAGGGATGCAGAATCAAAGTATCCCATTAAAGTTACCGTGGTTCATTGTAACATAGTAAAAACCCATTGCACTGGACAAAAATAGCGCACTGACTGAGAATTTTTAGAGTCTAAGTCTTCCAGTAGTATGTTTTCCTGGTTAGCAAAAATCATTGCCCACGTTTACTGTAATAACCTTATGTAGTTACCAATCTAGATATGGCTACCTGGAAATTGAAAAGCAGAACTACTACTACAACAACGAAAAAAACTTGCTTAGTAATTTCAGCTTCTCAGCTGTATGGTTAACATCTATTCATTCAAGAAGTAGAAACCAGCATAAGTCACAAACGTCTCCATTGAGACACTTGCCCCACATACACACTTGGGTGTAGTCTGTGTACATGCAAGCAGATATGGCTAGTTCTATTTTAGTTCTGTAACTTCTCAAATCAGATGAGATGTTTCACAATAAGAATACAAAAGCAATTAAGCACTCAAATGTTCACACTCAACAAATCACATTTTAAAAACAGTAAGTTAATATTTACTGCAGATTTCCTAACTGAAAGCTTGAATCGCCTGCTTTTCTCTCTGTAGATCAGAAGCTCAGCAGAAACAAGTCACTCTTCTCCTTTCAAGTTGCAATAAAGTCAAAAGTTACTTTTTGAAAACACTAGCATAGCCATTACAAAGATTTCACATTTTGTAAATAATTTACCACAGTATTATTACTTAGATGGACTCACTGTCTACACAAGATGTGGCAATAACATCATTTTTTAATGTTTTCAGAGTTCCGAACAACATTATGTTCCCACTGCCTGTAAGACAGAAAGAGAAGCTTTCCCAACACATTTTCCAAAGCAGATCCAAAGACAAAAGAAAATCTCAGTTCTGTGTCACAGCTTCTGCAAAAGGCCAGAAGGAAAGGCATTTGGAGTGTCTATTAATGAATCCTCCAGACTCATCGCTCAGCAGCCTCTATGCCGTAAGCCAAGCACACATGGAAACATTTTGCTCTAACATACAGAAAATCTACACATCTTCATAAATTCCAAGGACTCTAATTTCTGATCAAGGGAGCAAGTAAAGGCCCATACAGTCACAAAACCTTGGCGAGCCACAAAACCACCTTTAGGTCAAAAGGCCTGATACTTTTGCTACTGAGAGCAGAAACCAAAACTGCTAAGAGGTTTTGTTCAATGAAACCCAACAGGATTTTTCAGTACAGACAAACCTTTCTCTCTGGAAGGGACATTCTGATTAAATATCGGTTCCTTCCTACTTTTATGTATTTATTTTAAAAATCTGACAGCTGCTTCTAAGTTTTATTTCAGCAGTATGTGCAAGTTTAGAGCAATTACTTGGGTTTATACATAAGGAGCGATGCTTACACAGCAATCTTCAGGCACGAACTGATGACCAAACTTTGCCTCTGAAGTCTCCATTTAAATTCAGTGGGCTTTGCAATCTCATGGAAAAGCTCAAAACTGAGAACTGGCTGAGAACTCCACCATCTCAGGTTCTGACTGACTATCAGAGCTTTCTATAACCACTAATGTTGAGAAAATTAAGGGGATGGAAGGGAAAAGAAACAAGGCTGATTGTCATAAAGAAGAATTACCAGTTCTAGCTTAGATGCATTGCTGAGATAAAAATCCTGAGGACTGATCACATCACCTCTTTTCTTCTGCTTGGACTTCAAAAGCAGAAATAGTGCATAATTTTCAGCCACAGAGGTACAGGGCAAAAGTAGATCTTCACATATTCCAGTAAAAGAAGATAGTAAGTTGGAGGAGAGGGAGATGAACAGAAGGACAGCAATCATGCACAAGCTCCTCACAAACAGCAGCATTTACAGATAAAACATCCCTGGGATGCCGATGATTTCCCTGTCCTGTGAGACTGCAAAACAAGTTCCAGAAGTATTCTGTCTGGAGCCATGTAAACACTATACTCACCATGGAATGCCATCACTTATGTGTGTTCAGAAAAGGCATAAATATAACCTGATTCATCACATCCCCAAAATATGAAGACAGACCCGACATGCATCTATCTGTAACAGTATGCCTAAGCAGCAATATAGTTGAAAATACCACATTATCATATCAAGCATTTTCCTTCCTACTGACAATTACACAGAATGATGCACATCTTGCTCAAGCCATCTCCTGATCTAGCATTGTAAATCCCTTCCTGATGTGCCAGATGCACATAGGATGAGTCACTTATCATAAGCTCCTCTGGACAAGAAGCAAGAAAATCTTAAGTTACGATTGTTACTTCACCACCTGTACACCTCCCTGAGTATATGAGAAACAGTCCCAGCTTTCACAGAATTCTTCATCACTGGCTTCACATAAAAGACTGTTCACTTAATGCCTACAGCATTCTTCAAAGTGATTCACCTTAGAATAAGAACAGAACTCCGGACTTCAGTGTGATAGATGCAAGTCTCATATGGTGAACTTCAGACACAATATCACACAGAAGCAGCAAAATGTGTCCATTTCTCAAGGCTGTTCTAGTCACTAATTTCTTCTTCCTTCTTTGGGATGATCAAAAACTCTCTCCCCCCTCTAAACTAGTTTAAAGTTGTGCAAAAAATGAAAGTTCAAGCCACTAATCATTAGAACCTGAGTGTAAATGCAGTTCCTTTCTGTTCCAGTAGACTCATTGACAATTTTTATTTTTTTTTTATGATAAACACACACACACAAAATAAGTAAATAAATGAAAAACACCCCTCTTTGAACAGGATCCTGATTTAAAAGCAGTTTTGCTCATCGGTTCCCCAGCAATGAATGAACAAAATGATGCATCCCCATTCACTGTTTCTACCAAACTTAGCAGCTATTTAGTAACAGCACACATTGCAGAGGGCACACTACCGCCAGAGACCAGGCTGCTCAGTTAACTGTTTCCATTGAAAATAACAGAGTTTCAAAGAGAAATACATCTTGAAACCTGTTCAACATTTCTAGAAGTTTTTAAGCCTGCATGTCAAACCGCTGAACGGCCTGAATCTAGTACTTCATGATCTGTTTCAGAAAGCTCATTTCAACTCCATCTGAACCACGCCCCAGAGAAATTATTTGCCTACAGAAATGAACAGTAGATACAGAACTGAGCGATCCAATTGATAAGATCCTCTCACAAATTGCTCTGCCAATACAGGTTGCAAACAAATGACAAGTCACAAGAGCAAAGTTTTGTGCTCTTCAACAGCCTCATGTAGTTCAAGGCTCAATGGCCTCTTCAGACAACCAATAAAAGCTGAAAGGTCATTTCCATCTTGTTTTCAGCAGCATTCCTCTTCAGAGAGCAAAGTTTCTGATTACTTTTATTTCCATTGTTAAACAACCTGGTGCTTCTCCTTGCTTCAACGATTACAAAGAGACAACATCACAAGTTTTTCACATTTAAAGTTTTTAGGGCTATTTCCTTTAATAAAAACAGAAATCAGACATCTTCAAAAGAACACTGTGGACTTTCAATCCAAAGCAAGCACTGCATTTAAGAGCACTAATCATAAATCCTAGCATTTTGTTGTTTACCATCCTTAACACAGCGATCATCAGTTGTACTTAATGAACACACATCCTTAGCACAGAACCTTTGTGTCAAGGTGGGCCAAACAGGCTCTCACAGACCATGGCCTGGGTCTTCCTTTCTCCCCACCTTCTGCAGATAACCAAAACATTGTCCATCACATTACCAGAATGTGAGACATTACCAGAATGAAGTCACCCCTTCACCACCTGATGAGCTCATCCCACTGACAGATGTGCTTCCACTCACAGGGCAGGGAGTGCACACACACCTTTAGGTGAGCTGGTGCAAACACGGCTGGACATACACGTGCTATACAATGAGGGACAGCTGCATGAGGTCCCCTGGCAGATGTACTCCCAGTCACACCAAGAGGGAATGGCAGGTCAGCAGAACAATGCACAGAGCACCAGCCTCCTTTAATCCCCCTCCTTCAACGTTAAGGATGGGGAGAGCCAGGAGCTGGCCAAAGCCAGGGAATTTTGGAAGGCAGGACAGTTATTGCCGAAGGTAGCTGCAAGCTAGGCACATTTGTGTGCACACACACTTCTCAGTTGCAAGCAACACCAAACAGACTGCCACTTATCTTCCAGCTTTACAGAATATAGCATTAGAAAGTAATTAATCCATTGGATTTCAAGCTTCTTGTACAAGTCATCAATATGGAGCAGGCCCAGAGACAAATTATCAAGCAATACCTGTGACTGCCTGTCCCCTTGCACATAAATCTGGCTCCTTGAGAAGCAAGAAACATGAGGACCTTGCTTTTGCCCTTCCTCTATATTCAGACATCTCTCTCCAGTTTGCTTAACTAGCTATCTGT